TCTATTGTTTGTACCAGCTCATCCATGCAGGGTCGAGGAGGGATGGTGACTATCTCCAGCTGTCACTGGGCGAGAGGCAGAAACACCCTGAGCGGTACACCCTGATGCTGTTAGAAGTGGAATCTGTTGGAATCTTGTAGGAAAACCTCAAGGACATCCCCATTTACAGTCACATGAACACAACAAGCAGCTGCATGGTGGTACAGATGGTAGAACTGTTGCCTTGCAACAAAAAGGTCCTGGGTTTAAATCCCAGCCAGGGATCTGTATGCAAGAGCTTTTCATATTTTTCCCTCACACTTTCAGGTTAATTTGTCACTCTAAAAAGGTGCCTTTAGCTGTGAGAGTGTGTGTGTGTTTATGGTTGTTTGTCCTGTGTGTCTCTGTGTAGCCCTGTGATGGCTGGCGACCTGTCCAGGGTGTCATTTTGCACAATAACTGCAGGAGACAGATAAGGCGGTAAAGACGATGGATGAACAGAGCATCTGATCTCTCTGCTCTGCCTAAAATGCATTCTGAGACAAAGCAAAGTTAAGCTTAACCTTAGAATATGTGACTCATATGTTCCTTAAATTGAATGCAGTGTTGTTTAATGATCTACACACACAAGCAGAATGATCTGAATCCAGTTTGACCCACAAAATAAAGACCAGAAACCTTAAAGAGAGGATCATTACAGATGGACAGAAGAAATGACAGACATTTTATGTTCGGTTAAAAAAAAATATATATATAAAGAAATAGCTTTTTTTTTGTTTTTTTCATTCTATTTTCATTTTTTTAAGGTAAATTTTGTCTATTTCTTTCTTTAACTACTTTGATATTACCTACATGAAATACATGCAAGAATTTGTATTTAGTTTTAAATTTACACCTGTTAGAAAAACCTAAGAATATTTCAGTCGTTTCATGTCTCCTCAACTGGTCCGTTAATTTGGCTTTTCTAAAATTTCGTGAAACTCAATTAAATGGTTCTGTTTTTATAACTCTGTTAATAATAACAGTTATAATAATAATAATTTTATAAAATATTATGTATAATATAATATTATATATATAATATAACAATAATAATAATAACATAATTCTGTTCATTCAGAATATGTAGTCATTATGTTTCTTTCTTATTAAATAATGAAGAGTTTTTTTTCTTCTGATTATAACAATATTATTACATTACTATTTCAAACAAATGTGCTTTCCCAGGCCACAAAGGAATATGAGTTTGAGTTTTTATATCAAAATCATGATCTTAGGTACATCTTTGATCCATATGCAGAGAAACTTTCTGGAGCAATAAAGAATGTGTAAGTGAATAGTCTTCTTCACTACTTTTGTAACACTAAAATTTTGTTCTTGCATATTTTATTTAGCTAGAAAAACAATAAGAGAAAATCTGTGTATTTTTAAAAAGACAACCTTAAGAGACATTAAAGATTTAATACTTTCATCTGATGCATGTATTATTTCTTGAATCCTGATTTAATCTAGTCACTACAATACTGATGCAAAAACTGCTTATAAAAGAACAGATTTTAAAATCTTCTGAATGGTGTACGAAAGATTTTGGGTCTAAAACGTCTCAAAGTAATTTCTCCAGGGTGAACCTTCTTGATCATCAGAAATGTGTGTATCTAAATATTTGCTGTGTCAAAGATAAATGGTGTTAGTGCTCCCCCTGTGGTGGCTTCATGTTAAAACTCTTCATGCACAGAGGAGTTTTTGTACAGTGTTTCTACTTTCTGTGTCACTGTGGCTCTCGAGCACAATAATAAACAGCAGAATCCTCAGCTGTCAGACTGTTCATCTGCAGATACACCTGACTTCTGCTGTTGTCTCTGGAGATGGTGAACCGGTTTCTCACTGAGTCAGAGTAGTAGATGCTGCCACTGCTGTAGCTGATATAAGCAATCCACTCCAGTCCTTTTCCAGCTGCCTGTCTGATCCAAGCTATGTGAGGAGTGCTACTAAAACCCAGAATATGTGCAGGTCAGTCTGTGGGATTCTCCAGGCCTTTTAACCACAGGTTCAGACTCAGTCAGTGTTTGACCATCAGTACCTGCAGACATACAGATCATCAGGTTCTGAACTATAATAATTGTGTATTTATTACTAAAGAGGTTCCTTCAAGGACCCCTTTGTTCTTACCTGTCCAGTTAACTGTCAGGATGAGAAAACCAATCACAACCTGATGAGGTCTGATCATTGTAGCAGCCATTTGTCTCTGCTCAGTCTGCAGTGTGTTTGTCTCTGATTTACTGCAGGTCTTTAAATCTGTCACAGACATTTAAAGGTGGAAGCAGAACAAGTTTTGCATCAACTCCTCCCCCTGGAAATGAACTGAACTCATCTTGATTTTCTGCAGACATTTGATTTTAATAATTATCTTGGATTATTTTTGGACATGTTGTTGGTTTAAGTTAAACATTCCTTTTAAATTTATCATTACTTGTGTTCAAAGCTATAAACATTTAAAGCCAAATAATGACAAATCTTATGAGTGTCTGCAATTATCATGTCACAGGAGACCTCATTAGAAATACTGTGAACACAAAGCAGAGGTGGTTACAAAATGCAGATTTTTTTTTAATTCAGCTTTATTTTGTTACTTAAAGCAACTCCGAAACTTGCTTTGATCTAAATAATAATCCAGTTGCCAAAGTCTTTGTGGAAGTGGTTAAACAACATTTTTGTTTTGAAAGACGTCTGAATTTCATTTATTTTAATGCCATTTTTTCACACATAAAACAACTTCCAATTTTTAACAGTGTTAACGAAACTTGTGATCTAAATAATAAACTTTTGAAAGCTCATTGTAGAAGTGGGAAAACCACATCATGAATAAAAACCTGATTGATATGAGCTGTTGCATTGTTTTGGAGCCCTGTGGGGTTTTATTCTGGTTAATTACATGTTTGTTTAATAAAATTGTGAAAAGATTTTAAAATTTGTCAGGTATATTTAAGAATATGATTTTTTTTATTGGAAAGCTTTTGCTTGTTTTTGTCATTTCAGGTATATATCAACATGTCAGGAAAAAACTTTGTATACCTTTTATTTTTCAATTTAGCCAAACATTAAACTGATTTTGTATTACATGTGTTCTGAGGGGTTTTTTGTACAGCTCTACTGACTGATTGTGTCACTGTGTGGTATCTGGCACAGTAATAAACAGCAGAGTCTTCAGGCTGCATATTCTGTCCATTCAGAGTCACTGTTTTACTTTAAGTTTCTAAACTGATGCTGAACCTGTTCTTCAAGGAGTCTTTGTAGTATGAGCCTCCAGTATATTTCATCCCAATCCACACCAGTCCTTTCCCAGCAGCCTGTCTGATCCAAGCTGTGTAGTAGCCCAGAGAATAAGAGACCTGGCATCTGATGGTCAGACGTTGACCTGGCTGCACAGTCTCAGAGGCTGGCTGTGTCAGCTGTTCACACTTTACACCTGTGGAGAAACAAATAAAAAATTAATTGTACCAACAATTAATATTCAGTTTAGTGTGATCATGCTGTAAATGTTTCTGTCTCAGTGAGACTCACAGGATCCAGCAGCAGCAGCAGAGCTACACCAGAGTTAACATCAATTATCATGAATAATGAAAGTGTAACGATTCTAACAAATGGTAATAAAAGTTGCTCAGTGCTTTTTCTTCCAACACTGATGGCAACTGTGGTGAACTACTTAACATTGTAGTGAAGTACTTAACATTGTAGTGAAGTAGTGAAGTATTTAATAGTACTTAACATTAAACATAAAAGAAAAGCTCTATTTGGGTTTGGTTCTAATGTGTCCCTTCGTGTTGTCACTGAAAACTATATTTGCTGCTAACTGTTAATTTTAGTTTTGGATTTTTTTGTTTTGTTGTGTTTTGTTTTAAAGAGGTCAAATTTCCTGTAGTGCTGATGCCTATCTCCAGCTGTCACCAGTGGGTCACTGGTCCATCACAGGGCAAAACAGAGACACACAGGACATTGTACACAGAGAGGATTTCAGTTTTTTCCACTTCCTTTGAATCATTTAAGTTTAGTCTTGTAGGAAAACAACAAGTATATCCACATTTACAGTCACATGAACAGAACAAGGGACTTCATGAGGGCACAGTTGGTAGCACTGTTGCCTTGCAGCAAGAAGATCATGGGGTCTAAATCTGGCCAGGGGTCTTTTGTGCATGAAGTTTGCATGTTTTCCCCATGCATGCACGGGTTCTCCCCAGGTACTCTGGCTTAATTGGTCACTTTAAAAGTGACATTAGCTGTGAGTGTATGTATAGTTGTCTGTGTGTCTCGATATTCCCCTATGATGGACTGGCGACCTGTTCAAAGTGTACCCAGCACCAGGGGAACTGGTAGGCAAAAGGAGATAAGTTCAAGAGTGACCTCTCTGCTGATTTTGTATTACATGGGTTCTGAGACGGTTTTGTACAGATCTGCTGCTTGTTTTTGACACTGTGGCTTTCTGTCCCAAACAGTAAAACACAGCAGAGTCTTCAGGCTGCATATTCTGTGCAGTCAGTCATTGTTTTGCTGAAGGTGTCCACATTGATACTGAACTTGTTCTTCAAGGAGTCTTTGTATTCAGCAGTACAAAAAAACCACCTTTTCTACCAATCCATTCCCAGTCCTTTACCTGCAGGCAGTCTGATCCAAGCAGTTGCATAACCATCACCATCCAGAGAATAAGAGACCTGACAGTTGATGGTTAGATGCTGACCTGGCTGCAGAGTCACAGAGGCTGGCTGTGTCAGCTGTTCACACTTTACATCTGTAGAAAGAGAAAATGTACAGCAGAATGAGAATAGTAAACAAACAGTTTTGTGTGATGATACTGTAAATATTTCTATGAGACTCACAGGATCCAGCAGCCAACAGCAGCAGCAGAGCTACAGAGAACATGCTGGTGGTGAAGGTGATCTGGTGAGAGCTTCTCTTCTTCTGCAGCTGACAGCATCAGATCAAGACTTTAAAACCTGACTCTTCTGATTTGCATAATACCAAACCATCCCCTTCAGAAACACACGAATAAATAATAAATAGGAATTCAACATGAAAGCGAGAAGGGGCAAAAAATTATTAATAGAAAAAAGTGAACCAATTTACAGTAAATCAACAAGTAAAATCAAGATTTACTTCTTGTCTTTATTTAATTATAAGATATTGATAAAATGTATGTAAGGATTCTAAAAGTGCCCTTTTTACCCAAATATAAAATGTATTTTTAATAGTCACCTCAAACTAGAATAAAAGGTAAAAATCATTTATTCTTACAGATCCAGT